GGGCCTTCGTAAGGTTGTTGCCAAGGTTTGCGTACCGAATCTACTCGTACAAAAACATGTGAACAGGTAGATAACTCATGAGGGAGAGCGACCTGTCGATGTTGTATTCGAGTTGACACCGGAGGCAGCGTTCGCATAAATGCAGACGGTCGTTGGACGTAGTCTGATTTAGCGAAACTAGGTCTGCTCCGTGGTGTGAAGAATTCCCCGGGCAGACGCAATGTCGTGTCGTATACAAGTTCAGTGGCGGAACATTGGATATCTGCCTTTAAACTCGTTCTCACCCCTAAAAGAACGAATGGTAAGGTTTCGTGCCAGTTGCCGTTTTCGTGTGCTCGTAGAACACTTTTAAGTTGGCAGTGAAACCGTTCGACTTAACCATTTGGTGCTGGGTGGTAGACGGATATGCTTATGCGTATGCATTTCGTACCAAGCAGCCGGGTCAGCGAGAAGAATCGTTAATAGGGTAACATTTCTCGAATAAAGCGTGGAATTCATCATCACGCGAATAAAAAGTGACAAGGATTCGGTACACATACGTGTGAGTCTATTATATTAAAACTATTCTTATCGTTATCCGTCATGTCGCGTATATTATATATTAAAAATATGAAAATATACGACAGACGTGGATAGATAAATCATAGACTCACCGAATTGGCTTCTTTGGAAGATTTGATCAGAAGTTGAGGCGTGTTCCAAAATACGGGTCACCAATTGTATTCGATTTGGGACTACCAATTGTAGCGTGGCGTCGAGTTGAGGTTAACTATGAACACCACTACAAAGAAACACGTGCCAAATGAATCAGAAGGCGTAAGAAGCTCGTTCCAAATGACTCCATAAAATCCCCGAGAAGCCGAATATCAGAAGACAGTTAATGGACCAAGTCGAGGTTTATTAGCTGGCGATCTCGTGGCATCGAAAGGATACCGAGATCGTGCCAGGATACAACCTTGGTTACAGAAGGTAACCGAATTCGCGCGAAGTTACAATCAAAGTGTGAGTAAGTGAATGGAAGCACAATATAGCTGTCATTAGCACAATCAAACAAAAGCACATCAAAATAAGCACTGGTACAGTTGGTTATAATAATAATTGTTTTTATTGAAGCAGTCGTGTTTTCGTGATAAATGTGAGTCACTACACGATACAGCTTGTGCTATACAGTCAAGGGTTTTCCTAACACAAATTGGCGTGCTAAACAAAAACACCCAGTTAATACAAGGTAGTTCAATACCTGAGAATCAATAAAAATACTCCCAACAAGATGGGATCAGCAACCTATCTCCAGGGATTCGGGCAGTTTTTTCAAGGAGACAGTCAAAAGTTAACAGCTGTAGTGGCATTGATACTGGTGGGAGAGTAGTGTAGTGGCACTGGACCATAACCACACAATCCTCAAAGCTGAATACGAGATTACTCGGAAAATAGATATTCAATATTTAACACGGAGAAATACCTAACGATGGAAAAGGCGGGAACAATGAATTGAATTGACTGGAGTTGATCGAGTGACATGGCTCGGCCATGCAAGCGTGGTCCTTGCTGAATGTTACCTTATATCTTCTATTCATATTAAATTTATTGTTCTTTCTCTAGCCTAAGCTTCTTCTTCATCATGTATTGGTAGTTGTTACGATACAGTGAGTTGGTGTAGTCGATGGTGTGACTTCCACGTAAGATCTTATAGATTGGGCAGTTATATCATGAAAAATCTACAATTTTAGGATTAGGTCCATTATTAACGCAGTACTAATATCATAGTAGACCATAATTCCACACAGTCACACACTGAACCACGCTGTCACCTTGAGCTTAGTCAAATGCGATCTTATTGTCAATAATCCGACAACATGCGACAGAAAACTTGGGTAACATAAAGTCTTTAATCAAAGTTACATAATGAATGCTGAAACAAGGAAGACTAAGGAATGCAAAGTGTGATTAAAAGAGATACGAATGAAGGTTGGAATACACGATAAGGAGAGGAAACAAATAAGCGACAGTACTGTCCAACAAAATGATGAAGAGAGATTTTCAGAGTTTTCGTTCCGTCACAACTATGCTGATTAGACTGACAAGTTGGTAGTTAGATATAATCTGTATCCGACCATCTTTAAATACATGACTGACTACAGCATATTTTCAGTCTCTAGGGAGTTGAGCGAATGAAATGGATATGTTGAGGAGCATCTCGAGTAGTCTTCAAATGATGCCAGCAAAAGATGATAACGGTCATGGATGTAACCCATCAGGGCTCGATATCTTACAAGGTTGGAGGTTAGTGATCAATAGAAGCACAATTTCCTCAGTTACATGTTCAGGTCCTAAGGTTAGTATTTCGGTGTGTTTAGGACAAGTATTTTTAACAAAACACGTGGAGTAGACTTCGCCAAAATATTTTGATAAACTCTCAGTTTTTGCCAGATCTCATTCAGCTAATAAATCTTTATCGTCGCGCAACTGTAATTGGGAAACACCATCACTGAGTTGTTGTTCTCCATTCAACGTACGAAAACAATCTTTTCGGACAAGCACGACTATCATATGACAACTGTCTTTCGTAAATAGTACGGTATCAAACTATGGTCTTTTTACATTTATTCCGGATTGTTTGGTATTCACACAAGGATGATTCGTATGCTTTTGACAAGAATAAGTCCTAGAAGTGTTTCCTGAACTTCAATAGATTTCGGGTTTCCTTAACAATCCATGGAGGGCAATGTGGTGGCTTACGTCTTGACCATGGGATAAACGACGATGTTGCGGACTCGATTGTAGCCCTAAACCTATTCCATTCGTCGTCGATCGACCGCCCTAGTCGAGATAGCATAGTCTCTGATCGTCGGAATACTAGCTCCCCAGGTATTGGAACAGGGGGTAGCAGATACAAATTGTATGTCATGTGTCCGAAATTTAAGTTAAGGCACAACATGATCACTAGTCGCCAGTGGGAAAGGTGCTGAAAGTCGGTGAGATCCTCACAATGGTGCGTGAGTACAAAGTCTAGCAATGACGAAACATGTTCCAAGTCAATATGTGTCGGTTTTGCGATACATTTTGCAAGTGCACACTGAATAATGGTTGAAAAGAGGTTGCTATCGAAACCTTCACCTGATACTGTAAGCCCGATCCGGTTGATATGCGGTGCATTGAAGCCTCCAATGGTAAGGCGACATTCTGCCTTACTCTGAAAACAGATGCGTCTTAAGACGAGGTCGTTAGTAAGACGAAACGGACTACGGTATATTCCTCATATAATCATTAACCCGTCTCTAGACTTAATTATACAACATGCTAACTCACATGTACCACAGACATGCGCCTCTGATATGGTTGATTGTATAAAAAAGTGATCCCTAACATATAACATCATGCCTCCTTTATTGGGACTTATAACTTTGACTTTTAATACAGATGTAGCCTGCGGTGAGCCGCGTTTTTGTGACAAAAATCATATCAGGACTTACATTAAACATAGCCCAGATGTTTTATTTCGAAGACGATGGCCTCTCGTGTAGCACAAATTTAGGGTGTTTTGAGAATCGTTCGTTTCGTCTGTTAGCTGCCGAGCTTTTTACTCCGTAAGGACATTCGTCCACATGATTCGATCTTCAAACGGTCAATCTGGTTAGACGCTAATGTTTGAATAACGAGTTTTGCATGCGTTATTCAATATTACGTCTCTTACATCAAAACTCTCGAGTACCAACTTCAAGATCCTTCTTGGTTGGGTCTCGGGCCCAAACCATTTACCAAGTTTTATTACATTCGTGATATTTACTCCTGAGGCCTCTTCAGACAGTATATTTCTGATGGCTAATTTCACGAACTCCAGCTCACATGCATGCCTATTAGCAGGATCATTGTCTTTTGATTCCCCCAGATTCATAACAATTAAACTAGAAACTGGTTTAACTTCTTTGAAAGACGTGTTCACAACTTTCGACCGTTGTGTCAGACCCTGCCTGTTAACTGCTATGAACTTACCGTTGGTTTTTCTCGTAACAGAGTTGTGGAAGTCGAGCGAATGACTCACAACAATGTATGATGAGGCCAAACGTTTCCCTTTTACGATAGAGTTAAATATTGTCTTAATTTGTCACTTCGGAGGAGTAATTTGCAAGACAGGATATGGGTCCACCAAGGGCCTTGCAATTAAACGGGCGCTGTTTTTGGCTACCTTTTTTTCGTTTCTATGTTTCGGTGTCATCCATTTCCCATCAGTCACAGGACCGAAATTAGCACTACTTGGGACAATGGTGGTTTTGTCTGGAGTACTAGTTGCTGCTGTAGCAACCTGGACACCAGTATGTAATAGTATTTTGAACGTTAGTTGTTTCGGGAAAGACGTACCTATTGCATGTTGCACAGTTGGGTGTCTGGCACGTGCCGTAACGGCACTTACGACACCGACGCATTCTTTGCTATCAGTACACATGTTACAGGTACAGCCCTTATTAACATTTTTGTTGACCAATGCCAGAAGGGTAACTGCATCATGGATAAGTAATGTTTTGCTCGAAAAGAAAAACACGCAAGGCCAATTGAAGTTAGGCTTTGAGCACCTTTTATAGACAGCGGGATTTACGTGGGCACACACTTTATGAAACGGCTTATTACATTCATCATATTGTATTCCTTCTTCCACATAGGAAAAGTAATATGGCTGTCCACATTCGTGCGCAGAGCCGAACATCTTGAAACTTAACTAAGAATGATAACTCAAAAATGGATGTGTAAAAAATTTCAGACACTAACCGAATGAATCAAGTCAAAGTCGACCAACTATGCTTCGGTGCAACAAATACTCAAAAGCAAATTATTACACACAAGTAAAATATCATTTTAACTGAAATACACTCAATTAAAGTGGAAACAGTAACTTTGATACTTAAATTACGATCAAAACAGTAAGTTAACCTCAACAATGAGTAATATCACAGATCTTTTTAAATGGCGCGCCATGCAGTCATAAATTTATGACTTTTATAAATCATCGGCAAACTATTGTTACTTGGCATGAAAATCCTTATTCTCCTCCACAACCATTTGTGACCATAAATAATTATCTATTGGTAATTGGTTCACTGGATTATTCATTTGGTGTGTTGATAGCCCCGCGGATTATATATTTGTTGGTTTCTTGAAGCATGCCATCTGGGGCACCTTTGTTTGTCCTAAGTAAGTACATTTTGCTGTTCTAACTTTCGCTAGACCGTACAGCTCGTGGAGAACAGGGAAAATCTGTACAGTTAGCGAACATTGAAGCGGGAAAGACTGTTGCCGAAGTAATAAGAACATGCTTAGGACCAAGGGCAATGTTGAAAATGCTCATGGATCCTATGGGTGGGATAGTAATGACTAATGATGGAAATGCAATATTGAGAGAGGTTTGGAAACAAATGTCCCCTTATTTTTCAGATTACTGTTGAGCACCCAGCCGCCAAATCGATGATAGAAATCGCACGAACTCAGGATGAGGAAGTTGGGGACGGTACTACCTCTGTAATTATTCTCAGTACGTTATTGTTTTTTAAATATTGCATGTCTCTAAGGTGGAGAAATGTTAGCAGTCGCTGCTCCCTGTTTAGAAAAACAGGTGCACGCTACAAAAATTATATCCTCATTCCGAAAAGGCCTCGATGAAATGCTTGTATTGCTTCGTGAAAAATTGAGGTAATGTAAAATACAAACTGTGTATTCTCAAGTGTTCCATGTGATGCATCAAATGAACGAGAGGTCCAAAAGATAATTCAAAGTTGTGTTGGGACAAAACTCATAAATCAATGGTAATATAAATATTTAAATAACTCATAGTTAGGTCCGACCTAGCCTGCAAGATTGCTTATGACGCCGTAAAAATCGTAACAGTGGAAACCGACGGTCGTAAAGAAATAGACATCAAACGGTACGCAAAAGTGGAAAAGGTAAGAAAAGTTGAAACCATATTGGTCTCAGATTCCTGGTGGGTCTGTTGAAGACTCGGTTGTTCTTGATGGCGTTATGTTTAATAAAGATGTTGTACACCCTCGTATGTCAAGAAGAATAGAGAATCCTAGGATCTTGCTTATGGACTGTAATTTGGAGTATAAGAAAGGCGAAAGCCAGACAACAATGGAGTTATCAGATGATAAGGACTTCACGTAAGTTGCATTTGCATTACCTATTCATTTTTAGTCGTGCTCTAGAAATAGAAGAGTCCTTCATCAAGGAAATGTGTGACCAAATTATCCAATATAGTCCCAATGTTCTTATTACCGAAAAGGGAGTTAGTGACCTCGCTCAACACTATCTGAGCAAAGCCAACATATCCGTCATAAGGCGACTCAGAAAAACAGACAATCTACGCATCGCGAGAGCATGCGGTGCTACTATTGTCAATAGACCAGAAGAAATCAAGGAGGAAGATATCGGCGTCCAAGCTGGTCTTTTTGAAGTAAAAACAATAGGAGACGAGTATTTCACATTCATAACGAAGTGCAAGGTGAGTCTTTCTAGAGATAAACACTTATTTACAGAATCCCAAAGCTTGCACCATTCTGCTCAGAGGTGCCAGCAAAGATGTACTCAATGAAGTCGAGCGCAATCTGCAAGATGCCATGAATGTAGTTCGTAATGTTATGTTGGAGCAGCGATTAGTTCCTGGAGGTGGTGCCATTGAAATGGCCCTGGCACAAGAATTAACTCAAAAATCAAAATCAGTTAATTCTGCCGTTCAGCAAATGGTTTACCTCGCAATGGCACAAGCCTTAGAAGTGATACCCAGGACGTTAGCTAAAAACTGTGGTGCAAATGTTCTTCGACTTATCACGGAGCTTCGTGCTCGTCATGCTACTGATCCTGCTAAATATTGGACATTTGGTGTGAACGGAGTGTCTGGAAAGATTGTCGATATGAAAGAACTGGATATTTGGGACCCCTTGACAGTCAAGGCCCAAACTCTCAAGACAGCAATTGAGGTATGTTTACACTTAACTGTTTGCTAATTTTTAGACTGCAATTTTGCTGCTGCGAATCGATGATGTTGTTTCTGGGGTAAAGAAGCAATCGGGAGATAATACACAAACGCCCACAGCCACTGAATAAGGTTTCTGTCACCAAGTAATTTTTAACCTAAAATATATATCGATTCTACCTGCGTTACATCTTGTTCTTTATTCATAAGGCACATTCGTAATTATTTATTATATGCAAACATTTTCTGAGCACTACTACCTTTGTCTTGTTCCGATTTGTGTGCATCATGGTTGCTTGCAAGAGATTATATTGTCGAGCATTTATTATCCAACTGTAGTCTACATTATTTTTAAGACATGTTTAGAATTACAGTTCGTAGCAATAACATCGATGTGTACTGAATGGCTATCCCATCAAGTCAAGTAAGCTTATTTCACTGGTTAATCTCAGTTGCTAGGATTTTTCAGAAGTGTAACAAATCTTCAATCTTTAGAACTACAGGTTGGCTAATATCAACCTCCAGTTACTTTGAACATGGTCTAGTCTTTGTTAAACAGCATTATATATATATATATATATATATATATATATATATATATATATATATATATATATATATATATATATATAGAGAGAGAGAGAGAGAGAGAGAGAGAGAGTAAAATAAAGAATTGGGTATAAATTGACCTGTTCTGTTTCTAGTATTTTTTTTCCAAATTTGCCTTTATTTTCCTTTGTCTAACGTTAACTTCCATCCATTATAATGGATGCATATCTAGTCTGTTTTGTCGAGTTCACATCTTGGTCCATGAATTATTTTTCCGTATTACATTCTCATACTGTCTAAAATAACACTGCCCCTAAGTCTTTATAGACCAAAACATTTTCCTAGCAGCTCTACTTTTCCTTTGTCGTGGTAGTAACTACAAATGCAGTACACTATGTACATTTGAGTTTGTTTATTAAGTAAATGTGATTTCATAACAGATCAGGCTAGTGCATTTGACTAATCAATTATAAATTAGGTGTAATACTCTTTCCGATATTTAAAACCGTATACTTTTCCTATTATCTTAGTTGTACTGCAGCATTTAAGTATATGATTGTTATTTACAACATTACTAACCCTCAATATTTCAAAATCATCCTATAAGAAAGAAGTTCAAATGTGTGAGGACTGTTATCAATCGACAAGTTATTCAAATCTTATGGCCTTGGTTCACATGTCGACTTTGGAATCGGTCTTTCTACCCATAAATCTACATGACGTCTAAGTACCAAGATTTTCAAAGTCTTTATATACAAACACTTCAGACAGAGTGAGACCGTACAACCACCTTTCTCCACTGATCCGACCTGACAGTGGGGTTAGACAGTGTTGCACAATATCAACATTCCTCCAATGACATTGCGGAACTGTCTTCACAGGAAGAACGTGGTGTTGTTACATCTTTTTAGAGAAAGACTTTCTAATCTTAAGTATTTAGATGAAGTTGTCTTACTGTAGAATGATGTACGGTCTATTCAAATCATACTTGTTTAGTCTATGATCAGTGTCCGTAAGTATGACATGTGCACTACACTTAAATGCAAGTTTGTGAATAGCGTTATTTCCATCAGTATGTCTCTGATGAAGTTCGACAAAAATAGAGATAATGAACAGCCTTGTCGGACACCACTTGAGGTTGAAATATCAAATGACATTTCGCCATAAGCTCTGACTAGACTGGTAGTGTTCGAGTAAAGAGCCTTCATAAGGTTTATGTACTTCTGAGGTACGCCTTTCAGTGACATTGGGACAGAATCTCGCGGTCTACAGAGTCAAATGTTGCTTCTAATTCAAGAATGACCACCATTGTCGGACGCCGATAAGTATGCCTGTGTTTTAGAACCTGACGAATGGTTAATATGTGGTCGATGCAGCCACGACCAGGTCTGAAGCCAGCTTGATTCTCTCGTGTTTGCAGTTCACGAGTCTTAGTTAAGCGTCTGATAATTATCGAGGCTAGTATTTTAGATACTATATTAGTTAAACTGACCCCTCTATGGTTGTCACAGGATGATTTTAACCCTTTCTTATATATTGGGACGATCAGTGATTGTGACCAGTCAGATGGAATAACGTCTAACTCCCAGATCTTAGCTAAAATATTAGTCAACCTAATCGATAAAATTGGACCACCATCCTTAAAGACCTCTGGAGCCAACCCATCTAGACCAGCTGCCCTCCCTCGTTTCAGATTAACTATAGCCTTTTGAACTTCAGCTAGGATTGGGGGACCTACCTCAATGTTCCATTCACACTGTCTGGTAATGGTGGGTAGTTGTAGAGTAGCCGAAGGCCAGCTGAACCGTTCTCTGAAATGTTCCGCCTATCGTTCTAAACGTCTGGACTGAGAGCAGATGAGGGTATCGTCTTTTTCCGAAATAGTCTGACTTACACTTATTAATTCCAGTTTCTTTTATTAGTCTGTAGAGCTGTATTGTGTTCCCTATAGCCGCCGCCTTTTCCATCTTCTTTGCTTTCGTTGCCCACCACTGCTCACAGTCGTTCCTTAGACTTTTGCGTAACCTAGATCTGATTTGTCGCTCTTCATCGTGTTCAGAGCCTGATGGGATGAGTTTACGAGAATCCATCAGTCCAATAGACCTAGAGGAAATCCATTGGTTCTTCGTAACCCTGTGGTTTAAATCACTGATAGATGTCACTGCTGTTTCCACAGCTGTTTGTATAGCTTTCCAAGCAACATCTGGGTCAACCTCGTTTTCAGAACTATTTAATTGTGACCTCAGTTGTTCCTGGCTTTTGTGTGGCTTTTTTGCGTCCAGTGAGGCGCAAGCAGATGCGTGCCCGTATTAGGACATGGTCGGAGTCCAAGAAGGTACTCCAGAATGAGCGACAATCTTTTACGGACCCTCTCCAACGATGACTGATGGCAATATGCTCAGATAGCTTTCTGTAAAATTCATCTGAGCTGCAGTCGGTGGGAGCGTAGGCAGAAACGACAAAAAGGCAACGACGTGTGTCCCTATCTTTCTGAATTCTTACGGAGCCGTTTAGCCGAACAGCACAAAGACGACTGTTAGGGGGATCCACTCTAACAGTGCTTGTTCGGCCCTCATACTTAGTGCTATCCCTACTCCTGCCAGTCAACGAGAGCTGGCCGTCGGGTCACCAGATACACGGAGGGTGTATCTCGTCGGGTCTCCGTTTTGCTGAGGTGAGGTCAAGTGAATGACCACACTGGGATCCTGTATGCGTGTTTTAGCGACAGCATACATCAATAGTACGAGATTCTAGGATTTTAGCCAAGGGGGCCTGCTGGCCGGTTGTCACTTCCCGGCTTCCCTCACCCGTGGAAGGTTTTTTCTGAAGGTACCTGGAAAGGAAATTGGATTAAAGCTGGTCTTAGTGACCTTAGAGCGTGATTGCAGTGGTCAAGAAAGGACTACTTGAGGTCAGTCACACACGACCTTTCTGTGAGTAAATTTTGTCTTAGCTCCTCACTTGTTGGGACCTTACTGCCGGAGACGGATATACGTGGGATAAGGCGAAGTGTGCATTTTTACGGTCGATCTTTTCTAATCCCACCCTTCCTTGTGGGAAGGCAGCATGCCTGTTATGCTGGTTGTCTGAAGGAAACACCTTACTGCTGTCACACCTCTGTACAGTCAGGACAACTTTGCTCTCGAACCTTGGGTTTGCTGCTTTTAGTCTTTCCGCTATCCAACCAGCCTCTCTGGTATTGTAGGGTCTTTAGAAACGATTGTTTCAGTCAGTATAGCTCGACTGGTTCATCACGATAGGCAAGACCGACCACCACGTCAAGGTAAGAGCAATGGTCAGTACGTTCATCCTGAGTATATTTACTCCTTATCTTCATTAAGTCTCAAGTTTTAGTATATTTGGCATATGTTTAGCAGTGGGATGGATCTAGGATGTTTACCTGAAACGCATCAACGGGATATTAGTTATATTCGTTATCTTTATAATGGAGGAAAATGAATCAAACAGTAGCAAGAATACAGATGTTCTTGAATATATATTTCAGTAACTGAATTCACTAGCACAAACAGTAATTATAAGAAATTTATTTATATCAGTATAGGGGTTGTGGAGATTGTTAAGTTTTTGATTAAGATCATGAACCGATTGGTGTTGGACCACCATCGAAAACCTGGAGGCACTGGACGGCCGTTTCGTCCTATTGTAAGACTCCTCAGCAGTGGGCATCCACGATCCCGCTCGCGGTATTCGAACCCAGGGCCTTCTGCTGAGGAGTCCCACAATAGGATTAAATGGGCACAACTAGACTGGAATAATAATAGCATTGGATTAACACCAGATTTAGAACGATTTGTAATTGAATTGGTATTGACACTGGCATCTAGAATCACCAGATTTTTAATTGTTGGGAAATAAACCTGAGACTAGACTAGTCTCCATCGTATTAAAAATGAATGCAAACTGTCCAGTGTCAATTAGTCAGCATGTCTCAAGTATTTATAGGTCAGTATAATGTTAGGATACAATCAATATATATACAGAATGTTTGCGGATACTATCCTTTAAATTAGACCAGAAAAACAAAATTCTATAAAAGAATCAAGTTAAGTAACTTGTCCAATTTAAAGGTGATCATCTTTACAATGAAGCATCAGATAGGTTGCCACTAAGTCGGTAGAATCAGAAATTTGTTTCAACATAATTTTCGACTCTTGGTAGTATAAATATAGAACTTAAGTCAATATTTTGATGGAAATGATACAGAACACATAAGGGCAGCGATATTGATAAGAACAACATGTAAGGATGTAAATACAATAAAATTTCAGATGACTCATACACAATTCTTTACAAACTAAGAGTAATTTGCCAAATCTGACACAATCAGAGGAACAACTCAAATATTAATAGTTCTTTAACTTAATATCAATTGTGTCGTTGCCTCAGTTGACCTTGAAAAGCATTACTAATGGTTAAGTGCTCAGGCGCGAAGCCAGTAGGTCCTGGGTTCGAATCCCGCGGGGTGCGGGATCGTGGATGCGCACTGCTGAGGAGTCCCATACTAGGACGAAACGGCCGTCCAGTGCTTCCAGGTTTCCAACGGTGGTCTAACATCAATTGACTCATTATCTCAACCAAAAAATTACTATGAGACATGACTGGTTTATTTTCGTGTGAA